TATAGATTTTAAGGACTTAAAATCTATTTTTATATTGTATTTATTTACTTAATTCAAATTTCGTTATTTAAATTTTGTTACTTATATAGAGTTTAATAATATTTAATATATAATAATAATAAATTGTATTTACCTATGTTACCTTCATATACTTATATACTTTTATTTCATATTCGTACGACGTATTAAAATTAATTTTGTCGGAAAAAATTTTACAGATAGAACAAATCTTACCAGAGGGAGACTTCGTACAAAGTCGAATGCGTGGGTACCTCTATTATCATATTCAGATCATCTAAAACAATTAACGCAATTTTGGAAATACGTTTTAAGTTATTGAAATAGTTATGTTAATAAAAATATATATATACGTGAAAGTACTGTACCTATTATAAAAAAATCCGCCGAAACAATAGATCAAGTAATAGTTTGACCATACCTTTGGCGTCAGTTAATTTATTATGAAAATATGGGTTTTCTATTTATGTATAAAAAAATTGCGTTGATTCTTTGAACATTATACTTATACCGACGGTACAGCTTACTTTCAATATGATAATACGGCAATTATATTACTGTGTACAGAGGCATAACATCTTAGTCCTCAATAAGGCATGTTTGGTACTACGGACGAAACAGTGTATTCCGAGAAATCCGTAATACTATGTATGCCTATAGCCGTTGGTTTCACTTACCATCAGGTGAGCTGATGGCTTACAGAACTCTGATAGTGAAAAATGATTTATTAGATGATGATGACAGATAAGGATTCTACGTCAATTTTCACTGTAAGAAGTACATGATTAGGTATATCCCGAGATAAAACATCGCTAAACGCATTTTCTAATGGAACCATTTTCGCTTACTCATAAATCTACATATATACATGTAGCTGAAAGTGAAACCGGTTCCATTACAAACGGGATGGATGGACGGTGCCACGGACGACACAGTCTAATCTGTGAATTCCGTGGTGATATTCATAATTATAGCCTTTGGTTACCACTTTCCATCAGGTGGACCTGGGCTTATTTATCGTATATAACTTAAATAATCTTGATGTTAAATGTTCTAATCCAGTTTTCATTACAAGATAATTTTTATCATATCTTGTAAAATAAATGGCAATTAATGAATGAACTTAAAATATACCATCTAATTTAGTTCAACTAGTAATCTGGACAATATGTTATAGGACGAGATTTGAAATCTTCTTGCAGTAAAGACTGGAGTTAAGGTTAGGATAGGTTAATACGATAAAAAAAACGTTATTTCACGATGCGTCATGAAATCGGTTACTTTTCAAAACCGAACGTTCATGTTGGAATATAAGGGCACAACTGAGCCACTGAATGTGGTTTAATAGGACTATTTTAGCTCGCAACTGGTGGCATGCCGCATCCTAAAATAAGTTTACCTATGTCTTAGGTTTGGTTCTCATTAGTAGGTACAGTATCCCATCCACATAAGGTGAGATAAATTGCTATACGTACTAAATTAGAATATATTCAAGTATTTATTATGGTTTAAGGTAATGCCAATTGTAGGCAATAGTTATAATCTGGTAGTCTCTTACTACGCTGACTAGCCGCTATAGTATGAGTGAATATTAATGCTATGTTATCGGGCAATTAAATTTCGTCAACTATTAATAAAGCGGCTAGGCAGTTTAGTGTAGAGATTCCTATAGAATATATTCCCTCTCTTATTGATTACTTATGCCTTTAAATACAGATCATTTCCTTTATGACAGCATATTTATAAGTAAATATGTTGTCATAAAGGAAATGATCTATGTACCTACTTAGAGTATATTAATTATTCATTGATTATTATAGTTTATTGTAATGCCAATTAGGCAATTTGGTGTAAGGATTCATTTAGAATATAACCTTGTTTTACAGGTAGGTAAGTAGTTTACGGAAATGTATTTGACATGGTCTTCAGTAGGAATGTCGGTATTGGCAGTATTCCCAAATTAGTATATATTTAAGTATTCTTTGATTATAGTAGTTTAGTGTAATGCCATTTATAGGCAATAATTATAATCTGGTAATCTTGCTACGCTGAACAGCCGTTTAGTAATAATGTGTTGATGCTCCTTACGCGTCGGCGTAGGACGTAATTATAGGGCACTTTATCAACTATTATTATAGCGGCTAGGCAGTTTGGTGTAGGGATTCATTTAGAGTATATTCCTTCTTTTAGGGGTACGTTACTCTCCTAAATGTATTTGGCATGGTCTTGAGTAGGAATGACAGTATTGCGGTATTCACAGAATAGTATATATTTAAGTATTTATTGATTATAGTAGTTTAGTGTAATGCCAATTATAGGCAATAATTATAATCTGGTAATCTCTTGCTACGCTGAACAGCCGTTTAGTAATATTGTGTTGATGCTCCTTACGCGTCGGTGCAAGACGTAATTATAGGGCACTTTATCAACTATTATTATAGCGGCTAGGCAGTTTGGTGTAGGGATTCATTTAGAATATATTCCTTCTTTTAGGGGTACGTTACTCTCATAAATGTATTTGGTACGGTCGTGTGCTGGGATGGCGGTAAAGTGGTTTTCATAAATTAGAATATATTTAAGTATTCATTGATGATAGTAGTTTAGTGTAATGACAATTAAAGGCAAGAATTATAATCTGGTAATCTCTTGCTACGCTGAACAGCCGCTTTAGTACTGGTATGATAGTGCTATTCGTTAGCACAAGACCAAGTTATCGGCATTTTGTCAACTATTATTAAAGCGGCTAGGCAGTTTGGTGCTGAGATTCATTTAGAATATATTCCTTCTTTTACTGATACGTTGGCTTACGACATAGGTGCGTTGATGGTATACTTACATTATATTCAAGTATTCGTTGATTATTGTAGTTTAGTGTAATGCCAATTATAGGCAATAATTGTAATCTGATAGTCTCTTGCTACGCTGACTAGCCGCTTTAGTAACTGTATGATAGTGTCACTGACACGTTAGCAAAGAATAAAGTTATTGCCCAATTGGATTTAGTCAAGTATCACTAAAGCGGCTAGGCAGTTTGGTGTAGGGATTCATTTAGAATATATTCCTTCTCTTATTGATGTATTGTGCGTTTAAATGTTTGCCATCAGGCATAGTATTATAATATAAAATGTGTGTAGAAAACAATGTAGTTTGTTATTAAAGTAGACGTTTCAATGATTATAATGTTTGTTCATTCAAAAATCTCGATGTTTAGAAATAAATAAATGTTTAAAACCATAATTGTTTATTATTTCAAAAAATAAATCACAAATCGATCAAGCGGTTACTGTCTGTTTGACCCTTTTCGCAGAGTCTTTACAATAGTGTTACAATATTTTGCTGAATACAAATTTAATTCTTCAGTCAATAATTTTGTGCGACTTACATAATTAGACTTATAATTCTAAAGGAGATTATACAATTACAGTAGTTTAAATAATTAATTATTGATTAAAATTTATCAAATTTGAGCTTTTTAGAATAGATTATAATTTTCTTAAGAACAATTGAGCTGGAGTTATAGTATAGTGACATATGTAATGCCGTTTGGCAAATACTTCTAAGAGTCTGCGCAGATGAGGCTACTTTTTAGGTAAACTATACGTACTCTGGCAAAGTCATACACAGTCATTCGTTCCCATAACAGGCGCCAGAAATAATAACTACGCAGATATTTACTATTTCCGGAAAATATAATGTCGCTGCGCATACCCTTAAAGTGAATGGCTTTTATGGATGTACTAATTTCCTAATTAATTTATTCAACGGCCAATATAATAATATAAAAATATAATACCTACTTAATAACAAAAACTGTAGTAACAATAAAAAGACAAATATTGTAACAGTAACACTCACGACAATAAAATTGGGGCAACAATGGAGCAGTTGTGGCGATGGTAAAATAGTTTGCGTGAAGGCTACTATAAGGGTAGGTTCACATTATTAGGTTCAAAACGGACGGACCGCGTCCGTGATACTTTTCGATTGGCACATTTCCAAAAAGACCAATACGCACATCGTACGGTTTTTTTCGGCACGGATCGTCGGGTCCAAAATTACGAAAAAAGTAATGCGACTGCGTAGACTATTAAAATCGATGGCATTATTAATTTAATCAGTAGTAGTATAACTAAGCCATAGTAGTATAACTATGGAATAAAACAAAAAGTAAATTCAATGGGAATAAAAATATCTAGAGGGCGATGCGTGCCGTGCGTAGGACTGCGACAATCGAACGGCGTTGTCGGCACGGACCGTCTAGTCTGAACTTGATAATGAGTGGCAACCCTAAGAAATTGGCTCTGATTTCCCTACATAGAGGCTATCTAGGAAGTGATTTAGGTTGCTTCCCTACATTTTCCGATATTGTCCCTGATTTTAATGTCGTGTGTAGGCCGTTTTAGTCTATTTTATTCAAATAGTCGTAGACGTTTCTATTTAAGTAACAATATGGTATAAAAAAAAATAAACAACAATTTGAACATGTAGATTTTATTATATCGTTAAATATTGAATCAGACAGATTATATATTAGAGTTATTTTTATTTTGAGAATATTTAAACATCAATTAACATTAATTTTCAGAACTTGAGAACATCAAATGACATTTATTTTTGAACATTAAAATACTACCAACAACTACACATTTAACATGTCAAGATATATTTGAGATAAAAATGTATTAATACTAAATATATGCTATTGAGTAATCTCCCTTAGAATGAAATACAGTCGATTAAAACATAATATATGAAAGTGCGATTTGTATGTATATCGCATTGAAATAATCGAGTTAGGTTAATAATAGTGCAAACAAGAGTATCTTCTGTATCTATAGATTATGCGCAGTAACCAATAAAAGTATAATCATCTCGATCAGCACAAACTAATGCTAATACGATGCAGACACTTTTGTTGCGAACTGTACATAAAATAAACATGTTTTGTATAGATAACAGCAAATAACTTAAATATGATTTCAATGGCACGTAACCTGCCCAGTAACAATATCGGCATCTGTGCAAGAGTGATTATAAATTTTATTCAAGTTGTTTACTGCCAACTTTACAAAACCAATATGCTAAGTTACAATAATGAAATATTACAAATTAATATAAGTTTGTTCATTGAACTGAGTTATCTACTTTTACACTTATTCATTAACATGACTACACTTTGTAATAACCACGAAAATTATATAGGTTATATTTCGCAAACTAAAGGATTCTCTGATTTAGTACAAAAATCAGCTAGTCAATACATTTCTTATTTATTCATTATAGTCAAAACAACATTTTAAAAGCTAGAATACAGAAATCATTTAACGTAAAATTAAATAACAAAAAATATATTTACAATTTAGCAATAAATAATTACAAAAAGAAATACTATCAATAAAATAATAGAATCTAAATAGTTGACAAATAAATTTAATCAGATAATTTCTTTACGCCTATTGTAATTGTAATTAATAAGCTTATTGGAATGAAATCATATAATATAAGCGTTGAACTCGCACTATGTATCGAATTCATAATGTTTGTATATTACTTATTTCAATACATTTCAATATGCACCAAGTACATCGTAATCGGTTATATATCATTAATTCATAAAATTAAATATATTTAAACAATATCAATATAATCTGTGCCCGAAATACAAAGAAAAAATATGATTGGTGGCATTTAACATAAAATCACAGTACCAAATGAAATCGATTCACTGATATTCGATCGATATAATTCCGACTAACCAATTACGTTGTACATATTCTTTTTATCCCAATAATATATAAGTGATACCGATGGCAAATTATCTATTACCGAATTATTGAGTATATTTGTGTGATGACGTATCAAGTTGATACATCATCAAACGATGAATCACCAATTTAGATATGACTGCAATTTATTAAGTTACACTGATACTATATATTACTTGTTTTCATAATGTACTTGCCTCTCTATGACTTTAGTAACTTTTTGGCAAGTTTTTGCTTTTAATATACTTGTAAATTATATTAACATATTATACTTTTAATATATTTTTTGAGCTACTTGTGAAAATACAATAAATGAATATTACAGCATAGATAATATTTATACACACTGTCGATCACACGAGATCTTGTAATATTAATTAATATTACAAGATCTCGTATAGATGTACTGGAAAAAATTATATTTTTTAATTAAGGCTGTATCAACAAAGTTGTAATTGACACTAGCTGACGAGGTAAAGAATCCTGACAAATACTCAATAATTTGACTATAGATACATTTCCCAACTTTCAAGCAAAAAGAAAACAATCCTGCCATGTATTTTATGATTTGGACTACTAGTATGTATTCATTAAATATAATTATCCAAGATGTAACACAATAAAATTATTAACTACGTCTGTAAATAAGGATTATAATATTGAAATAAAATGTCACTACCTAAATGTCAAAGCAAATATTTTACACAACAATAAACATGGTCAAATCATATTTAGTTACACTTATTACCATGAATCAATGTAGATAGTTAATTTTGTATTTTTCAAATACTTTTTAATATGGCAGTATAAAGCAATAACCTAATAAAAATTAACATTTTAAAAATGTAGCATTTATATTAAGTGTTACCATTATAATAATTAGAATTACTGCCTATTTAGTACAAGTCGATATCGTTGAACATTTTGCAGCAATTTTATTTATTTAGCACAAATATATCAATAGAAAAGACCTAGAAGTCTCGACGGAGAATTTTGCTAATCACTAAAATATTATAACATTGTGATCGCTTACCTACCTACCTTTCGAGTACCTGCTGCTTGTAACCGCATACTTACCTCCCAAATTTTTAGTTAGAAATAAAAACATAGACATCATGCAAAATGACATTATGAAGGTCCATACTGGTATTAGTTATTCCAAAAATCGTATCATCCATTTTGAAACAAGTACGCTGGAGAATAACTTTTTATTACATATAGATGACACACAAGAGAATTACTCCTGTATCGTGAGGTGATATTCTGTGTCTATGTCATTTTTTCATCTCATTTACTTTGTACATTTTCGAAAACCACTATACCCTCACTATAATTGTGTTGATTTGAATTGTTTATAAAGCCAACTTGCATGATTGTCACATGATAACATTTTAAATTATTATTCGGAAATGTGTATCATCATGTCTAAATGTGAATATCAAAAATATTAACAGTAAAAAATAGACATTATTAGTCTTACGGTCTATACCGCAACACTAGCAATATCTTGCGATTTATTATCAAGGGATGAGGAACAAACAAATAACAAATGAGGTTATGACCACCTCCTTTGTTGTGATCACGATAACTGCTTAATGTGAAAAGTGAAAAATGTTAACAGGAACTGAGATTTTGAGGTAAGCCTAGTATTGTAAGCGTGTAGAGACATAGTAGAGACTCGCATGATCAAAATTAATTTAAGTGCATTTTAACGTAAAAGTGAACATTTTTAAAGATAAATATTTGTTTTGTTTTTCTGATCAAACAATTTTTTTGAGCACTGATCTCAAATAAACTATTGTAATTGGCATTGACATATTTCTTTTCCAGTATGAATAAAAATTGTTGATAATAATACATACGATGAATACACCGAGTAGAATGGATCTGTTGAACAACTGGCGATCTTTAATTTCTGACTACTCTACGAGAGCAAGGCGGGGTATGTGGTTTTTTTTAAACCGTTATATTCTTTTTTATTAATAGATATAAGATTATGAACGTCTATTCGTTCGTGGTGGGATTTTATTTAAAACAATAATCAATGTAAGAACATAAGAATGTTTGACCTACGCGTTCAATAAGACGTTCCCGTCAAATAGAATACATTCAAGATCACTATTGGCATATTACACACACATAGATCAGTGAACGGAGCCTGCCCAATATTTATTGTCGACCGTATGGAACAAAAACTAAGACATTAAATGCATACCATTAATCACCGATAATTATAAACACTAACACTATATTAAATTACCGATGTAATACATTTATATATACTAGCATAGAAATTACTTGATTTATATTATAAAACACGTTATACTTCGTCGACGGGCCGAAGCCAAGAGATTACTGTGATCATATAGCAATGTGACTAATGATTTGACACTAAATTAATGTAGACGTAAGAAAATAAAGTTATCAAGTAAAACGCCAAATTATAGTAAATCTCATTAATAATTGTATACTGTATACCTATGAAATTAATATGTAGAATAGCAAATTAAATAGAAAAAAAAATGGTTATTTAATGTATTTATTTCAGTTAACTCACGGACCTCGATCACCGCATCGGCGCGAATTCTATACTTTATTTAATCCTATTCAAATTCAAGTTGGTATATATTACTGATTATGTAATAAAAATAATAATCCAACAGCAGTCATTGCAAAAGTCACATTAACTTTCTTTAATTTAGGTTTTGTAGCCAGAAAATATTTTAATTATACATTTCCTCATAGAAGCATATGGAAATTTAAATATTCAGATTAGAAAACGAGGGCGTGATTTAACGAACTAAGCGTGGTGCCCAGTTAAGTCGGCCGATTAAATATTGAAATATATCTGTGCGTTTTCATTTTACGGAAATGTTACATAATCTTCATATTTATTATAATAGTTATAATTAGTGTAAAATACTAAACATTTTGGTGATCTCCTTTGTCAATGTCTAACGCGAACTGACCGACCCATCCACATGCTAATTTTGAAACATGGGTCCTTAATGTTAAATCAATATACCTTGATTCTTAAGTCAGTCTTGTCTCAATTGTGGAACGAGTCAAAATGTGCAGATTAATTTCGATTAGAAAACGATGTCTATATTACGCTTAGAAATAAAATATTAGCTTTCACAGTCTTAAAACTATTTCCAACTGTTCGTCTCGAATGTATCTGCGCGTGTATATTATGATCACACGCATGGAGATTATATAGCATTGGAAATATATAGATTAAAGATACAAATTAATCGATGATGACTAATAACTAGAAAGTATATACTGACCCTACAATATAAAACATTCGTGTTTAGTGCAGCACACTGTTTTACTCGATCTGTACTACATTTAATTGAGATCTACTTTGTACAGTCAGCGATTACGGTTTAATATGTGAACAAAGGCCAACTGTGCCTTCAGTTATTGCTGACGACTGTACATTCCATGTCCACGGGTCACGTTAGATATTGTGCGCTAGTTCAAAACCTGATTACATGTTGTAAGCTATATAAATGGCATCTATTTGGTCTGATAGGAAACCGTCGCGGAGGTGCATACGTTGTTTCTCACCACGAGAGTTGATTGGCACGACGCCCGGATCCACCACGACGACCACGCCAACGATTAGGTGGTGTTCCTCCAAAACCGTATTGGTGACAAGTGGTACTAAGTTGAGGGCTTCGCTGTCGTTACCGTCCAACTCTACAACCACCACTAGTAAATTCGTCCAAGTGAAAACGGCGCTGTGGAAGGAAATTGTTACATGTAGTCTTTCTGAACTGATTTCCAAATCAGTTTCAGCGGAACCATCAGTGGAAAACCTGTGATCACTGTGAGTTCAATAGTCTTTAATCTAAAATACAACGTAAGTGTTATTTCCTCAGCTTGTTTACCAATTTAGGTAAATAAAAAAAGTTCACTTACCATTCTGCGATTTTCTTGTGGCACCTCATCACTGAATTCTCAATATCAATGGGATGGTATCTCATGCCGCGCAGCATGATGGTCTCATCGAGTGCCCCTACCACGAACACTGCGTCATGTGTATCGTGCGTGTCACCGCCACACAGCCCACTAGTGCTACCGCAAGCAGATGCCAGCGATTCAGTATCACTGTCTCGCAACATCAGCGACGTGTCGTCACTACTCGAAGCCGTCGTACTTATCTCAGTCCTCCTCAAAAACCCGAGATAACCCGTTCTTGCGTACACCTCCCCTGTGTTTCCCGTAACTAATTGAGCACTAAAATGGTCAGCGTAGTCACTCTCGTCACCGTATATAGTGAAATATCCGCTCGCATTATGAGGTGACTGCACCCATATCTCTCCCAGATGTGAGTCTCCACATTGACCCTTTGTTTCAGGATTGGCCGTTATGACTTTTACTCCGGGCAGAAGCTTCCCTGATTCCATTAGGCAAAGTGAATGAGGGCTGCCGCGTTCGACCAGCGAGACGCGATCGTTCCGCAATGCACGAAGATCAACGTATACCGTAGATGGTTCGGGACTAGAAGCGCCTTGTAGGCAAATAGCAATGTTCACGCGACATCCAAAAGATGTGGAAACGGCTCTTGGGCTTAGACCAAGAGCCGAGAACAACTTAGAAAACGAATTTGACAAGTTTATACGAGGTCGCTCTTCGGCGACGACTACACAAGTTCTCACGCAGGCTAAGTTGATGCCTTTCGATTTGAGCTGATTGACAGAGCTGCCTAAACCTTTAGTGCACAGTTCCATTACTCCATAAGAACAGAACGTGTCACGAACTTTATACTGAGAGACGGCACTAAGCCACAACCCCGGATTGATTTCTACTTCAGAGGGTGGAATTAGGATAGAATGGTGGCCGGAATAAATGCTGCTTAAGCACCACAAGGCGAACCCTAGGCCACAGTATGGGTCCAGGCAAAGAGCAATATGGCGAGATGGGTAAAGTTCACACGCTATCTTCATGGAACGGCAGAGTGAAGTGACTGCCGCATGTGACATCTTTATGCCTGCGAGCATACCAGTAGTGGATACGCTGAAGTCTAGATATGCGAGCATTTCTGCTGTGGGTGCTCTATAAAGAATAGGCAATTTTTTCTTAGGCATATCGTCAGTATCTAGCGTGATGGGCCACGCTTTGCTGTCTAGCACATTACTTGCCTCTTTGGAACGGAGTAGCTTTATCACAGATTGATTCGAGAGAATTAGTGTAGCTTTGCTCACGTCAACGATCATTTTGACTGTCGGAAGCGTGGTATGCAGGTTCTGTGGGTGAGGAGGACGGATGGTAACTGGCACTGCACCGACGTACAGACAACCATAGAACGCACATATGAGATCAAGGCCGGGAGGGAATATTAAGGCGACGTGATCTCCAGTATTTACTCGTCCCTTCTCTAGGAGCAAGTTGCCAATTCTTTCAGCTTTTTTGTGTAGTTCGGCACATGTGAGCACTTTGGAAACGGTCCCTTTTGAGTTGAGCAATGTAAATATGACGTGATCCGACGTGCTTTGAGCTCGCCACCGTAAAATTTGGGATATAAACTGATACTGCAAAAAGTAATAGGTTATATTAGTCTTACATAAAATCGATAACTTTAGAGAGTTGTAATGTACAATTTCCTTACTTTTCTAGCGGCATCAGAGTCATCCGTGTATCCCATATCGCGACCCTGAGCGGAAGCCAAGCGGTTGCCCTGCACCAGGTTACCAACAATTACAGAGGCTGGACCCACATCTAGAAACAAAAGTATGTTATGTATAGTACAAAAAAGTTTGACTGTAACAATGCGCACAGCTCGCGATTCGCTCAGCTCTAAATAATAATTCCTAATTACGATTACAGTACCGGAATGTATCTCCCTTGGTTTTGGTAGGTTGGTAACACATGTGTGAGGACACATAAGCACATTCGCCGGATGCAATGTGCCTTCTAAGAATCGTCTTTTGCACTCGCTCAAATGTATACCCCCCAGTGGAGTTTTGGGTAAATAGTTTGGCTGAACGAGAGCAAGACAGTAGATGCCCACTTGGTGGATCGAATCGACCGCTTGAAGCACGCGTGACATCCATTGGAATGACTGTGGAAGAAAATATACATTTTAGGTTCAACCTATAGTGGCACCGACACTTGCCGACTGAATTGTAAGTACTATAATTGTCTATGATGGTCATAGACAAGAACGGAATAATACAAGGGTCTAAAATGAAAAAAAAAGTTTAAGTATTTAGCGTAAATTCTGATGTTACAGGATCATTCTAAGACCTCAGGAATGTCAACATATGAAAAGTGCTAACTGTGAAGAATTTTTTCTTCCGCATATTTTTAAGAAGAAAATAAATTTACTTCAAGTTTTAATGAACATGTGTTTATATGTGGACATTTAAGATACAATAAACAAGTGTTGCAATTGTAATAGAGAACTTAGACTAGAAACCACACTCACTTCTTCTTCCCCACAATCGGGCCTTTGTTCTGCCACAATGCAGATCCTCTCATCACGGAGTACCCTTACTGAGAACACAGCTATACGTCCCCTGTATATAAACTTCATAGGTTCCACCGCTAGAACCGTAGCGATTATATCATCCATATTGTGTTTGCGTCCTGTTACTGTCATCAAACCATCCCGGGATCCACATACAAACACCAAACCTAACGAGGAAAATAATATCTGATAATGCTATTTCCATTTTGCCATAAATGTAATGAATAATTTTATATATTTAGTATTACTGGATATATGAAAATATAAAACTTACCGCCCGGTCCCAAAAAACCAAGCAAACCGCTTCTAACGTAATGTTCTTCGCCTATTGGCTCACCATCAGAATCCAAAGGCCTAACTCTGAATACTGTATTGGTCAGACCCGGAAGGCCCCAATATCCTGAACCAGTGGCACCAGAGAGCACACAGATTTCACCCACCTCATCCGTCTTACATAGGAAGGCAGGACCCTCCATTTTCACTACTACTATGACGCCTGTTGGAAGAAGAGTAGTACGTTTTTAAGAGATTTCTAGTTATAAAAAATATTTTTTTGCTGGCAAAATTGATATAGGACTATCCATTAAACCTTTTCAATTAGAAAATTAATAAATATAAAAAACAAGACTTAATGCTTCTTTCGTCAGCAATGGATACATATTCTCTTACTATATGAAGTAGCAGAAAACGTAGATATATTTGATTGGTCCCGGAGAAAGCCGTTGCAACAATACTCACATGAAGGCATTACTTGTCCGCAGTCTTGCAATGTAAGTGATGTTAGGGAGTTTTCAGCGTCAACTCTCACTACACCATAAGATAGGCCTGACATTGAGAGAACACCGCGTCCAGCAGAGGAACCGCCGCGACCGGCGCGCCTTACGCAGACCGTCAGAGATTCACTACTACAAGCGCAGGGGCAGATCGCATCGCCACGGACACCTGACATAACGAGGGTGAAGTGAGACAGACTAAAGATTAATGCGGCGGATAAGTGTTAAAATTTTCAGAGTACGAAATTTAATTGATTAATAATAAACTGATTGCTCCAACAGATTTCAGCAGAATCGTGCGCATCATACTGTAATGGAGGGTATAGACACATGTATACTATAATGGAAAAAATGAGACCAATTTTTTCCTTTACAACGGGAGTATAAAATAAAATGATATTTTTGCAAATTATTGGATTATGTAGTAGTAGTAGAGTAATCTGTAAGTCATATATTAACTTTTAGTTATTAACAATAACTAAAAGTAATGTATGAATATTTATTAATATTTCAAACTATTTTTATAAAAGGCTTCTTTGGAAACCATTATTCCGTATGTTTACTAATATTTATACTTAAAAACCTAGTCCTGAAAATTAAAAACACAACAAAAAACAATTAGCCTTATATATATTCGTATAGATGTTGATTATAAAGTGAAATAAGATTTACCTTTAGTTTGGAATACGGACAGAAACTGGTCACATGATGACAAAGACCACGGGTTAGCACCGTCGGCGACCAACAGCATCCTGAGCGAACCTAGCGAGATCTCCTTATGGTCGCGGGTTGCTAGCAAACCCCAATGAAGGTCACGGGACTTCACGATTGCAATTGATGCTCTATAGAGATGAATAACGTACGTATATTTATATATTCAGCTAGTGCAATAAGTCGCATATAAGAAATTATTGTAATAAAGTTTTGTTCGATAAATTACATTATATTTTTAATCTTAACAATATTAACAAAGGGTCTATCCACGAGTAATCACAATGAGAAGACTATGTCTATATTCAATCCAAATTATAGATATACTATATAATATTTTAATTACTTATATTATTAGAAACGCACTCACTGTAGCATTCAATTATCTAACTTTAGAATAATATTCTTACACCGATTCTTAGTTGTCGGTACGTGAGAGATCAGCCAAAAATGTATTAAAAATAATAACTTATATTAAGTTTAAATGCAATATTAAGACTACTTCGCAGCAAATATTTTCACTAACTAATCGATCGAAACTGCAAACGCGTTGATTAGTGGCAAAATACGATTACACAGCTACATTTTAAAAGTTTTCCCGTACGTAGCATTAACAACATTTCAACAGCTATTTGTAACTACTTCGTGCAACACACGTAAATGAAATCTGGTTGGAAACTCTGAAAGCTTAGTAATACTTTTCTATTTAGTTTAAGCGATTTCACAGAGTTGTATATTGTCAGGGTTGGCGCGTTTAGAAATAGTTGCTTTAAAACATTAGTACATTTTCAACTGCAGTTAAAATTGTTTGTTATAGAACGGTTTTACATTTACTTTTAAATAGAGTTCGTACGTTCTGTCGCCTGCAGGCAGGAACTAATTCACTACTATTAAAGACACAGTATGGAACATAATTAACAGCCCGAGATTACAGAGAAACAAACAAAATAGAATGTAATTTAAGGTAAAATTTTCAAGTTAGAAATTTCATTGGTGTCTACACTACACCATCGTTTGGAACCTTTTGGCGACATAAAGTGAATACTGACATCGTTTAATATTGATAACAGTCACAGAATCCAATAAGTGTCTAATATTCTATTTATATAAGTATTGACGTAAATGGTATACTGATCCGAAAACCACGTTGAATTCTCATTAAGATAAATAACTTTCATTAAGACAATAAAGTTTAAATAATACATTTAAAAATTTTTCATATTACACTTATCACGTAACTGCGCAGTGGAAATGAAGTATTTAATATTTTTATCAATTATATTTATGGGGAAATTTGTTCAGTTTTCATACCATCCCCAGAAAGCCAGCTTCCGGTTTGGTATTTCCTTTGTGACTATCTTAATAATATTATAAACGCGAAAGTTTGTGATTATGAATATTTGTTACTCTTTCACGCAAAAACTATTTAACGGATTCTGATGAAACTTTACATATACTATATAGCTTATGCATCAGAGTAATATATAGGCTATATTTTTTATTTCAATGTATATACTCAAATTTAACGCGGGTGAAACCGCGGGCACAGCTAGTATACATCTATTTACAGGTGACTGAAAAGTTACAATATGGCGGGGGGCGCGCCGACGACCTCTTCATTTCACGAATTACTTGTATAGTCTAGACTATTCAAGCGTATTTCAATTAAGTCTCCATTTCCCGCGTGCAATATATTGAACAACCACTAATAGATCTAATCTATCAAAGAATAATCATAGATGTTACGAAGCAAGAAAGAAATTGGGGGTGTATGGCTCTTTGTCTCACACAAAAAATAGGTATTTACATTATTCAATTATATAAAATAGTGACTATGTGCTCTATTAAGCTATATACAAAAACATTGGCATCTTTCTGTTCCAAAATTTTCATTGTGAAAATATCAAATATAATACTTAAAAATGTCATTGCAATTCTTGTACAGAATTGAAAATGTCATCTGTCGGTCGAACCACGTCGCATAATAAACATTTCCACTAAATGTAGTCGTAAGTAGGCACTACCAGAGACTTATTTCCTGCAATTCTACGGCTGTCACAACACGGAAATAAAGGATGTGTCACATATTGGAGGGTTGGAATATCTGAAGGGCGTTAATATTGATATAAATAATTATAATAGTTTATAAAATTATTCAACTACTTTAGCTATCGAAATGTATATATTTTTTCAAATTATTTTATGAATTTGCAAAATGTTACCAATAATGTAATATTAAGTGGGTTTGTACGATGTTTTTGTAAGGGACAAATTCATTAATATAAGGACAAATATTTCTCTCCTTAATTTATTATCAATTATTAATCTTAATTTTTATAACAATTACATAGTTCAAGTTATACCAGAATATTTTTTTTATACTAGTTTGATGACAACCAAGCATACGGCCCATCTGATAGTATATGATTACTGTAGCATATGGACGCCTGAAAAACCAGTTACTTGCGTTTATGAAAATTATTTAATTTACGATATCAGAACCTGTGAGAAATACACAAATAATAGACAAATGACGGATAAAAGTAAAAAGCATTAAAACGGTATATTTTTTACAGAGAGTATAAATTATGATGATACGTACCTGTATTTGGTGATCATATGCATCCAGGACGCTGGGCTTACTTTCATCAGTGCGTAAGGTATGAATATCACGTGCATCCCGTTGAGTACGCTGGCCAGTACGGCGTGCCATAATCCCGTCTCTCGCTTAAAATCCAGTACACAAACCATGTGCTCGCCCTCTGTGTAGTTGCATGCTACAGATAGCATACGACAATGGGCTAGCATTGCGGATCTGCGGAGACAGTCTTTGCTGAATCGAGGTTGTCAGTACCACAGCAAACCGTAATTTAGTCGAGACGGTTGCAATTAATTATTTGAAATATTTCTTAATTTTAATGTTTATAAATATCAAAGATTTTTTATTTTGCTTTATTCCTGAACCCTTCATTACTTCACTAGCAAGTTGTAACAAATACATATAGACATTATATACAAAATTAGAGAAATTATTCAACAATCATTTAAATATATCTTAAAAAAATATGTATAAAATGTCGCATGAATTATCTCCTCAGGAGGAATCTGACGACCTGAAACTGTAGTTTTCGGTTGCTTTACGCAACGATCAAATTTGTTATACATATTTATATTTCAATACTAAACAGGATAAGACGTTACAAAATATACATAGTTAAGACAAGTGGAGGCACTTTTTAGATTTAGACCCATTTCTTCAGACAGACATCAGTTATGGTTGTAGAAGACAGTTTACCAATTTTTAGTACGTTTTAGTATTATATATAAATAATAATTATAACTATATAAGCGATGTGCACAAATTACTTGCGCGCACCATTTTTATAAGAAAATTTTGCGAAACTTTTCTCAAACAATTGTTTATCACTCAAAATTTACATAAATACAAATTTTATGAAATAAAATAGAAATTCCATGCATATGATACTAAAAAAATTGTTTTTGTAGGAATAGTCAAGCAGAGTTTTTTACTTTGTTCCTGTTTGGTAAAACGAACATATTATATGAAATATTTTTTATAAATCTGATTCTGAGTACTAGTACTATGAAAGACTACAAAAATATTTTACGTAGATATTTCTAATGGACGCTAGTATTCTAATTTATTAGTAGTAATTTTAAATTACTTAAAATACTTTAAATTCACAAGCGTGTGCAAAGCTTCATTTCTCAGGTAATTAAATTAAACAGCGACATCTATGTAAAAGTGGCGTTAATACTAAGTAACGTTCCAGTTCCACGGAATAAAGATTACTATTGTATTCTCTACATGCTTTTCAGCGTTCTGACTTTCCCAGTACATATTTATAAAAAATGTGTAATATTCTCACTAGAATAAAACGATGAATTTCATACGGAATGCGACCGTGTAGACATAAAAAAATTTAATAAAGTATACGATCAGAAACATTATTTAACGTGAATATAAAATAAATTGTGATATGTTTAAATTCAAAACAGCGACATCTGTGTAAAGGTTGTGTTAGTACTACTCGCTACAGATTTCAGAATGACAGTTTAACTTTCAACAGTCGCCGTTTTATTCGGTTTAGAGGGCGCTACATGTCCACATAGAGACACTGAAAAGTTTACGAAATAAAAATAAACTCTCAACAACTTCAGTTGTGTTTGCTGAAAACTTATTACGATACACTGATATTGCAAATGTGTATTCGAGCATTGGTATTAAAAATTAAAAATGAAAGAAAATATGTTTAGAGACTCAGAAACAAGATAATATTGTGATAGAATCTACTACGATTTGAATTTTATTAAAAATTAATTACGACATCAGCAGTTTTTAAAATAATTACGGGAACAAATTGTCTTCGTCTAGTATTTTCAATACTATTCGACTATCGATCGCTGCTTCAATGCAAGTGTATAAAAAAAAAGGTTTAACTCTTATTATGAAAAAAATCTACTGCCACATGAAAATCATGTGTTAAAATAACAATCTTATTTGAAAACGGACACATACATTCAATAATTCTCGAACACGCATACACACAAGTTGTAGACTAATACATGTTAAATAGTGTTACATTAGCCCGAAATCGGAACACTAAATGTATACATGTATCATCTGTACCTAATTTGCGATTGCACTGGCATTTGTAGCCATATTAACTGTCAATATGCTACTAATTCCGCATAAATTCACAGAAATTATCATTTCCTAAGATTTCAATCAAACTAGGCGACAATCTGCGTTCAGGATAGCATCTATAGTACATTAAGTAGCTTAGATTAAGCTTGCAGACTGATATTATCCGTACTAATTGCTTTCCATACAGAAACGACTCAAATGTATTATATATTCGCGCTTTACAAAAGATACATAATATATTTTATATGTATATATATGGTACGTACTTAATGTTTTAAAATATAACAAGTATTTATATAAAAAATATAATGAGCATTTATTCAATAGATTCTCATCTTTTCCTGTTATAAATTATGGTGTAATTATGTACATATATACTTTTTATTACAGCAATAATTTAATTGTCTGGCATATTTAATGCACACGCACAAGAAATTAGAGTGATTAAATTTGAAATAATAATATTGTTATTTTACTAATTTAATTGCTACCGCCTGATGAACATTTGAATACAACAGTATTGTATAAAGTGGAAGTTGATTATTTCCATCCTATTTTATTGATTATACTAAAATATCAAGTTATTATTGGCACAATAATTAAACATTTGTCTTTAATATTACAGTAAAGTATTCAATTAACATAAACATTACATTTTTTTATTACCCAAACGAAATTTCAGATATATATACGTTATTATGTGTAACACCAAGCTTTAGTTTTAGACAAAATAAGTCATTTATTAATAAAAATAGAATAGTTTATTATAATTATTCAACATGCAAATAAATATTCATTCATCCATTCTTTTATGATACCTAATTATAAAAGAACGACTCGTCCCGGATTAAAAATAATGGAATTAAGTTATATATTATCTATACACTAATATAAAAAGTTCTGTATTATTAGGTTTGTAGCTTAATAATGTTTAGTGTGACAATGTGTGATGATAGAAATAGGAGAGACAGACATATGTACCTATATACAATTATACATATCTCATGCATTACAAATCTTTTAATTCTTCGGCTTGTTCTATACTATAACACGCATGTATTATACATATGAACCTTCCTCTTGAATCACTCAATATATTACTGAAAACTGCATACAAATCCGTTACGTAATTAAAAGGATATAAGAGAACAAACAGCGGCGGCGACTTGTATATTAGGTAAAGATGGATGATAAATTTTATGGGTACTGACCTGGTAACAATAACACCCATGGCGGATCCATCAGCTGCGGATGTGTGCTCGATGTGAGCGGGGCTGTCTTCAGCGGGGCGCGGCGGAGGAATCCAGTCACGGGGAGGTCTTTGCAACTTTTCGGTGGACACCCATTGCAGGGACGGCCACCCACGGAATGAGACCACATCACCCGAAGACGTTTTCGGTAGTCCTAAGCAATATTGAGGAAAAAGAACATATATATTTTTAAATAGCAACAAAGAAAACAAAGTAAACTTCTTTGTTTACGCAGCAAGCGTCTATTAAGATTTTATGCAGACGATGCTAGAATTTTCTATGAACGGTATTAAAAATCGCAATTTATTTAATATGTTTTTATTTCCACGCCGCGTCTATTATGTAAAGCGGATTGTGTCGTCCTAAGAGAAACGGGAGAATACGTAAAACTCGACTATTGCTCTTTTCTAAAATTTTCTAAAATAGGTTGAGAACTTTGATATTACATATAATTTGATGATATAAAATAACAAGCTTAAGTAATATATATATATATATATATATATATGACACTCAAAATTGGGGAGAGTTTTAACATATTTTAAGATTTACTTAGAATATGAATAATAGAATTGGAAGCAGTTACCAACGATATTCTCAAGTTAACACGAACGCCCAAAATTAATTTAGCATATGATGTGTTTCTATTAACGATAATACAATATGTCATCATCTATTCCAAGCGACTAAGTAATTACAGCGTTCATAACAAGAGGTCAGTCGTCTCCCCTTTTCCCCCCTCACCATATCTAGACTGACTTCGGTCTATCAAATTATATTCAGACTAAAGACAGAATTATGTCAACGTCCAGAACATAGCAGGAAACTGAATTATATATTAGTTTGAATCAAATATCTACATGTGTGAAGTTATGTGGTGTCCATCACTGTCATTGTATCAATTAAGTTGCGGTATTGAAGTCCACAAACACCTGTTGGAATTAATTTACTAAGTTAATTGAATCATCGTCATTGTCATCTCAGCCACTAATTGAATACAGTCCTGCTATATATACTCATCTGTACATTATGGGCGAGCATTGAGGGAACAATATTCTTTTAAGTCAATCTCTTAAAGTTTTAGGCTGTAATTTCGTACATTTAAAGCGTACAAAACGTGTTCGTAAAAAATAAAATGGGAAATAGTTTTAATCCTTCCATTCTGTAATTGGAAAGGCAATCAACGCGGATAGCGGAGGCAATCAAATTTTGAAGTGATCATAATCCCTTGGTATTAAAAGTAAAAATGCAATGTACAGATTGTACGGCCGAGCATACGAGTATAAATGTATACACTTGACAGTATAATCTATGCAGTTTACAGAGTTAAATAATGTAAAAGTGTAGAATATGTTACTAAATAAAATAGGTTTTACAGTTATCTCTGAACCAATTGACGGTTGCTATTGCGAAACCTACAACTTGGCAAAATCTGGGACGGCTTTTCAACCTTCTATCTGAACTAACAAAACTATTCAATAAAATAAAATGGATAAAGCACAGACTGAACATAAATATTAAAGTATATTCGGGAGATATTCATGTATTATTTATTTAAAGTAACAAACTATTCACCTTTTATTCCGGTTATGCTAAAAAACTATAACAAGACAAAGATTGACCACAATAGTCTCATGGAAATCGAGGTTACATGACGCAGTCACAGAATTTATAAAATTAGGCACACAATTTTATATGAATTTTACATTCAATTCTGACGGCAATATAAAAAAATGTATTCATTTTTACTAGGCTGAAACTTGTAATATTTAAACGATTATAAAATTATTTGTTAAAAAATTTAGATCGTAGAGAAGAGAATAATTATTACGGAATAACAGGAAAACCACATTATTATGCTGTATACTATAAAGTAAGCAAAACTATCATTCATATTTTATTCAAACATCCTCGTAATGTTATATAGCGTATAACCTTCCCTGATAAATGAGCTATTCAAAACTGAAAGAATGATTACTTCCAATCTTCTGAGATTCCGCATACAACTGACCAAATTTTTCCGCATTTAATATTAGTATACAGGTGATTCTGTAATGGCTATAGCGCTGACAACTATTTACGAATCCCTTTAATTTAAAACGCTTTGAGTCATTTTATTTTACCAGTTTATTATTATAAGTTTATGGAGAGTAATAGTATTATAACTTTGTATCAGGTTGGGGCCTTTATTTAGGATCTGATATTGACCTATCGTCATAACCAATAACGCTAATTAACACCAGGATTGCACAAATAAGTATACTCTATTGACATTCATTAAAATCCGTGTACAAACTAAGAGTAATACAGACATACATACATACACTTTACAGATGTCACTTTCGTTTCTGCGGCAGTTACGTAAAAAGGCGCTAGTTAATAATAACTGTAAGAGGATACATACATATATACAGGCTCATTGTAGTGTAGGAAACAATGATGATTTTATAAATATAACGTTTTGTTATAATAGTAAATAAATACAAATAGAATTACTCACCTTTCATGCACGCTTCCGAAGTGAGAGCGTACTGTATTCCACATGAGCCCAACAAGAACCCTACTTGTTGTAAGCCTGCGTCGCGTCTGGTTAAGGGCACTTCTATAGGCACAGGTACCACCCCAGCTTGGAGGCACCCGTAGAAAGCGCACATGAAGTTGATCGGATCATTGTTGGGATAGACCAAAGCGACCCTGTCGCCAGGTTTGATGGAACTATCACCAGTCAATGGACCACCACTGCTAGTCTTAGATGTGAAGGTTTTGTTGAGCAATGCGTGTGCTATTTTGAGCGAGCGGCTTAGGAGTTTACCTGTTAATGTATAGTAGTATGTATCATGTTCTATACGATATTATTATAAAATTCTGTCATAAGACATGTACATCACAATAGTACTAAAACTTCATCGATCATAGGAAACTCAACAGCATCTAATTGAGTTATAAATACCTATATCTGTCGTTATAATACTATAGTGTGGTGAATGAGTAAGAGTCCAAGTGTGTTACAACTGTTTATCTTTAGTCAGACGTAAGAGAGGATGAAGGAGCGGAGTACGTGGGAAGGGATGGAATACGCGAAACGATAGGCGGCTAAATCCTCTTATTACAAAGAGACTAGGGCCCACCAACGAGACGACAATTGATCGTTAGGATAATGGCAGTACTTCAGATTGATATGACAGAGTGGGATGTAACAGTAAAATTGCTTAGCACGGAGGCATATTAAATTTGTTGTCAGAAATAGAACTGCATGCAAGTACTATAGGTACTGCAGTAGCATATACCAATAAAAATGGCCGTTATCATTCGTCATCAATCGATTAGCCCGCCACCCTATTTTCCAATAAAAATAGTATAATAAAAATGATATGGCAATCTATATTATTTTCAAAGCACCCGGACGGTAATTTAACTATAATTGTCGGTGAAACTTTGTGTAAACGGGATATGGCTGATAAAAAGTATAACAACGTTTTATTTTTATAACAGTTATTCCACTACAAATACGATTAAAAACAATGTATCAGTAATAAAACCTTTTCATACAGCTTTAATGAAGCTTGATGATCCTTATCACCACGAGAACAATACAAGTAAACATCTTACCATAAGTCAGTGAATTACTAAGTTTCCCATTGGGATCTAGGACCGTGGCGACATTAGCTTTGAATGATGCTGTGCCGTATCTCTGTAAAGCTCCTTCAAGATTCCTGGGTAAACCAGCAGGGACCACCAGTTGCTCCCCAACCGCGGGCGTCATAGTGCCGCCCTCTGGTTTCGGCGCATTTGGGTCTTTAGGGTTTGCAGCGATCTCCAGTTCTATGTCATCGTCTTCGTAGAACTCCGGCAGTGGGCGGCGTTTTGGCCGCTTCAGGGTGTTTAGTAATTGCTGAATTTTGGCTGAGACCTGTTTAATGATTTATATTCATGTTTCATTTTTAACGAGTTATATTTGGCATACACTAGTTTGCAATTGGTGACAAATACCGCGTCCTTCTGTTTAATTAGGTTATAAACAAATATATGATACTTCCTACCTTCCACCTTCCTGTGCCAGTTCCGGTGTCCTCGGGCTGCGAGTAGCACTGCACTCGGTCAGCTATCAGCGTGACACCCCCTCTGCGGCCGCCGGACGAGGTGTGGGTTACGTCTGGTTGGATATCTGGTTCATAAGGTCAGGCTACTGAATAATTATTTCATCAAGCTAATAGAATCTTTTTACCACAGAGATAGATGGAGATAGCCGACCCAAGTACCTAAATTGTACGACATGCCACACAAATATAGATAATATTATCTATAGAAATATACTAAATGTTTTATTTCTCGTAAAATAACCAACGAAACTATTTGGATACAATGTATATTATTTAATTTGTTTCTCTATCGATAAAAAAGACTCATTTTTTATACTTTTTGATTTATAAAATAATATATTTATATAATGCAATTTTCCTGTTAAATAAAATATTAATCAAAACGATCTCATTTCTGATTAAATATCTAATATCGAATCATTTCATTTAAAATTGTAGACTCATTCACTTTGATGAATAAATGAAGTCATAATATAAACCATGATAGTATAACGTATTGTCTACAAAAGTGAGCTAAAGTAAGTAATAAACAAGATGCCGCGGAAGTCAGTTTTTGAACTGATCGCAACAAAAGTGACTTAGATTGAATTCACCTGCAATTGGGTTAATTTACTGTTTCCAATTAAATTAAACTTTCTGGGGTTGCCGTTCATTCTACAAACAGCGTCTAGTTTCCAACTTTGTCCGATTGTTAGACAATACTAAAATAAAACAAATATAACACTAACTATGAAACTCCATTTGTGTTCATTACTCCATTGAAATTAAAAGTTGTTTATGTTCTTGCTATGAGAATAAGCAACAATTTTGTCATAAACATATAAATAATATATTATATAATTCTGGTAATACGAAAGTACCAAACTAAGCAGAGCTTATATTATAAGCTCTTACTAAACAACTTGATGAATATACGAGTACCATATAAAGTTGAAAAGAAAACATCTAGATCAATTCAAATAGACATACCCTTGTAATACAAATGTTTGTATTGCGCGGAGATCAAACCCGCATTCATCAGGAGGCGAAGCAATGTATTACACTGCAACATCTTAAAGGATATGTTACTACATTTTCTTCAATGCACTTACTAGCAGCGGCGATCGTAGTAATGCTACAGAATAAATAACCTCAGAAGTATCTCAAGAGGTCATAAAGATATTAATGGCAGTAAGTAGATATATTTAATGAATTCTTATTCATTTTGATGAATAAATGTTTAATTTGATTACCTAAAACAGGATTATTAAAATTATTGAGAAACAAAAATGGACTAATTATTGGCATTCCATAATGTTACAGTAAATGTTGATATGATATAATAATAATTTATAAGAACACTATGAGCCCCATGGGCGCATCAAGTTGCGATGAAAGAATGTCAAGTTTGCAATATTTTTTTTATGAAATAATGTTTATATATTGATTAATTTTTGGCTTAGATAGTTTTTTTACATAACACGATTTCTCAGTCTATGAAAGTACAACATACAATTATTGTATTGTATTAATACCTGAATTTAATTTCTAACTACTCTTTATATTATCCACGGTAATAATCATTTTTATTTAAATTCACTATCAAAAAACATTTGTAAGAATTCCTGAAAAATATATTATGGAACACATTTAATGTTCTATATTACATTTCATAAAATATACTCCGATTTACATTGTAATTAAATTAGAATGCAAACAGCCAGGAATAAAAGGTTTAATCGAATGCAAAATGACTTGTCGACATAGTTGCCCACCATTGTCCAGGATATTCCGAAATATTTTTATCTTTACATATAAAAAAGTCGTGACTATGCGAAAATGGTTTGAGAGATTTATTTTTTACAGTTTATGTAATTAGATGTGAGCCAACGTAAAGCGTAAAGAAACCATAGAATGGGGTAATTGAGTACGTTTTGTATTAATTTCAAAACACATCACCTACTATTTTTAATTAACTTATTAATAAAATAATAGATGGCCTTGTACATGTGCGTTGTTTTTTTTTATCATTGATAATATCATTAATTCATGACGTCTACAAATATTCACGCGGACAAAGTAGCGGGCACCACTAGTACAAAATAGAACTCCCATCTTTCTCTGTTTTGAAAAAAAAGCGATAAATGCATGAAGCGTATTCTTTACTTGACTCACATGGCGGTAGGTGTGTGATTTCTGACAAGTCTATCTCAGTCCTCTCCCTGGGTGCGTGTTTCTTCTCCCTTTGATGGGGTTGTGGCAGCGGGTGGGGATGCACCCTGGGGTGAGGAGCAGCGGGCCGACGTGCTGGAGGCGAGCCTAACTCCGGTGGAGGAGGCAGCTCTGACTCACCTGCGCACGAATCTTCGTCTGAACTCGATGCTGAAACCACAAAACTATATTAATCCTCTGATGAACCCGTGAAGAGTGAATAAAATGAATTTAAGGAAGATTAACTTCCATAAATTCATGTATATGACATATATAATTATAATATATGACACCGTGTACCTTAAATTATATAAGTAACTAATGACAAAAACATAGATATAAAATACATAAGTAAGATATCTAATAAGTACATTATTTAAATGAGATGGTTTGGAAGCAGAAAAAGCTCGTTGAAACACTATTTAAGGTGTAATACATGAGTAATTGAATTGTTGATTTATTTATTTTTCTAATAGTACGACAAAAGTATTTTCTTTGATTTTTATACTTACTTATTTATAAAGAAAGGGTATATAAAACAAGCTTAAAACAATGATACATTTTTAATCTTTATATTAATGAAAATCATCTAGTTAGTATTAGTTATCAATAGAAAAAATATCAGAAATGTTAACATTCTAATTGCTTTAAAGCTATAATTAAGTCTAAGCTAGCATTAAGTCTGACTAAATTTGAAGTACTTACACGATATATTTATTATTAAAGTAATTAAGACCAAATTCTTTGTTTTACCACACCTGACGTTCTAGTTCTAACTTTTACACCGAAAAACAAAACAAGTAATAAATATTATTCTTGTATTACTGTAGGCTTCCTATTCCCAAAAGTACTCTCGCCTTTTCACAATATATGTAGCCTCGAGCCTCTCAGAATGAAGTAGGAACAGTAGGGTTTGTATTAGAAATAAAGAATTCACAAATCACGAACTCAATTCACTAACCAAGTCCTAATAAACGCAGAATGTACTGTTGAATGGTCTTGTTTGTTGAATCATAATGCTACTGAACTAAAGTCATGTCGTATACAAACAAAACGGAAGGTACAGTCGTCAACATTTTTAAAACGATTCACAATATAAAATTACATTTTATAAAAATTGACACTTGGATCTTAACCTGTAAGAACGTTGTTGTAAGCAAAGTAAAAACATCACAAAATCTTTAAGAAATATTTTTACCAAAAAATTGTATGTATAATATATAGAAATAATTAAAGAATAGCTTCCTGTTTCTTTTGTACGTCTACTTATGTAGCATAGATAGATAAGCCTTGTTAACTCAAAGGATTTTTGCATATATATAACCATGGTTAATACCTAAAAAATCTACTTAGTGCGGTCAAACAAGTAAAGATAAAGACTAAAACCTCGTTATTTATATTTAGGATAAAAATCGACTACAAAGGATCTTTTAAGTACACAAAGGTATTTGTATGTATTGGATTTTCTTCAACTACCAAATACGAAATGTGTCCCATTAAATATGTGAGATTAACTTGTGTCTGTTACATGAAATTTATAGAGACATAACAGACTTTACCTTTGCTCATATTCATGTTCTCATGGAACGTGAATGCCAATTTAATATACAGTACTGCTGCTAAAACCACAACCCAATCAATTGGAACCAGGTACCCAAAGCAAACCCGATCAAATCCATATAATGCTCTATAAGAGATAAGCACACTCGACTGAACCTGCAAATGCTCTTTGTGGCGTAGATGTCTGTACATGAGTCAGTACAGGATAAAGGATACATGAAACAGTTTACTTGGAATTAATTATTAGTTGCAACACAGACATTCAGTCCTAATACAGTAGTAGTAATAAGTTGAACGATCGGTTTGCTGGCTTGTGAATAAAGCGCTCCCCAGATTATACGCATCATAGCAAACTAATCGGCTGCCGAATCAAGCTGACTAGACCGGTACGGATAGCAATATAAATTCTGCAAATCATTCAAAATTAATACACTACTAATTTGGGAATGGTAGATTTATCAAAGCAATAAACAATAATAACAACGCCTATTGGATATTTAGGAAGGTACATTATGTCTGTAATAGGTAAGACTGTAATAGGTAATTATAATAGATTTAAAATATTTGAGATCAAATCTTAAGAATTTCATGGCAATACCTTACTATTACTAAATAATAGATTGCAGGAGATTCCGAACTTCCAAACTAATATTATAATGAGAAAGTTTATAAAGTTGTTCAAAAGTTTGAATGTCTGAACAGATTTCATTAAATCTATTAAATTCTAGATGTAATTGTAAATTGGACTCCGATTTCCGCATTTAGTCTCTGAAAATATATCCTAGATTAGAGTTTTTTCTAATTCACGTGGTAAAAAATATACCTCCTTATTTATAAAAGTGAAATACAAACCCTTTTAAACACTAACTATTAGAGTGGTTGCAAATTTTCTATTAAATTGAGTAAACAGCTCGAAAGAAAAGAACAAAACACTTCAATAGCAAAAATAGGTTTATTACATCCAGCGATTTTATGAATAAAAAGGGACAGTTGTTTTTACCTCTTAGAAGATGGTCAATATTTATTTTTTTCCATTTTTATACTTTTATTTATTCAATCAAAATTTGTATCTTTCTGCTGTATACTGTGTCATCACGATGGTCAATATTCACAAGAATAAATAATTATAATATATATCTTTATTTATAAAAAACAGACATAAATGTAACCATATAGAACCGAAGGGTTAATTACGCATACGCCATAGATTGTATATCACTGGGCAGGCCCTCACCCCAATGTTGTTATAAATGTAATAGCTCTATGTAGAGTATCGATTAGTTAATTTGGCAGTACAGCCAATTGAAACACTTAAACTATTGTGCGAACTCTATTACAAGACTCTCACTCGACGAAAGTACAACATATCAATTAATATACATTCTTAATATATTGCATTATTTCACCAGAACATTGACAGTTGAAAATGCGTCTGACTGCACAAAAGTGGATAATAATCGTGACTTAAAACTAAACAGGTATGTCACATACATGTTTAGTTTTAAGAAAAATCATCTATCAAATTTATAAATTTAAAATTATGAGCATCCGAAAGAGATTGCTTAATAATATAACGTATGCTCACAAATTTATTGTATATAAGGCGGAAAAACATTTCATAATTTCCATTTTAAGTTTCTTTTTCGGGGCAAATAATTTCGGTTTTTTCGCGTACATTTTTATATATTACGTTATCATTAAACAGGAGTTATAAGATATATATATAAATAATATTTGATGTATTATCATTCCTATTTTAAACTGCATATACCTTATATCAAACTCCTATTCACTACTTCGTTAGGAAAGTTTCGAAATAGTTTATTTCTGTCGCTTTTGTGATTTATCGCGAGACCGATGCAATAGGGAAGCGAAGAGAATGCATTTCTATGAAAACGCTTTTAATTTTCCGTTAGTGATAAAGTGCTATGCACAGGAAAGTTGTACAGTAATACTATTTTTTAATAAAAAATAATAGAACATGAAATTAGAAATAGAACTTTTAATTTTTTTATAATTAATTAACACTATAAACAATTTTAGATTTATTTAATTTGAATAATTAATACACTTCTTCTGACCGACGATTAACAGTAACATATACATATAGTCTAATCCACTTCACACAATTTACTTTTATTGAAAGATTTTTCTACGTATAGTGCTTAAGAGTTCTGTGTACTGTTAAGAGTACTCACATACACACAAAACAATTACAAATTGGCACTCTCCATAAGTCAATGCAGACAATACCATTCATTTCGAAAATATGAACTAATTATAGTTGTAAGAACCAGTGGGAGCCACGAAATGTAGTTCGTATTAAGTGCTCAGAAATGCACTTCAACTATGCGAAGGCGAGGGAGAGATAATTGAACATTGATGCGATGTACCTTCAGTTCGGTGCCTAAGCCTTGGAAAATGGATACGTGTTGTGGAAAATGGTATATCAAGTTTACTTTAATTACAAGTCTGATGAATTACATATTCTATACTGCTATTAGGTCCCATCATATTATTTAAATAGTATTAAGTGTTTAAGTAACACTTTAATATTATCATACTTACAACCCTATATACAATTGTAGAGATTTCAAATTCGTCTGTTTGCGACAAGTGTATTACTATTATACAATTATTATTTTAAATCAATACTACATACTCTATAATTAGATACCTGTCTCGACTACCTATGGGTGCAATTATGGTATCGTATGTTTATTTATGAAATAAAGCATGTGTTATTCGTATATTACAAATGCAAAATTTGGTTGGTATAGCTATTACCAATAAAAGAAATATGTTAGGATGTTTTTTTATGATGTAGTAGTTGTCTATAATATTATATATTATATTGTCTATATATAATGTCGAAATTACTTTCGATGCTAGTTTAAAAAAAATACTTATTAATAACAAATTATACTAAGACTTATAGACAACTACTACATCATAAAGAAATTATTTATAGTTTACACGAAAAAAAATAAAATTAACAATGTTCACTGAAAAATATGGAATATCACATTTAATAGTTCTTTGGATCTGGCTATTTTTGTAATACTTATGTTCATGTTACGCGACATTTCTAGTTTTGGACGTCTAATAACATTGCCGTATACGAAATCGCAATATGGTTTACTTTGTGCATCCCGTCGTGAATCCCCTAGCGCTTAGAACGAAATATTAACGGTCTAGTACATTTTCGACGACGGGTTATTCAAAGCAAATCCTATTATAATTCGTGCAATGCGTTGTTATTAGACTCCCTGAACATACTTTTACTATTACTAGATTATAATTCCTAACATACGGGTGACATTATGGGTTAAAACTAGAGTCTTAAAAAAGAAATCTCTATCTGGACATAGGACAAACTGTACTGAACAATTAACACGGTACTTCTTTATCGTATTCACACCGTATTCTAGTATATATTACACAACAAGGTTATATATATATATATATATATATATTAGTGTTAAATTTGGTCACACATTTCATATAACGAAAAAGGACATCCTAAAATATGATTCCTTTACGATAGTACATAATTGTAAGATTATTATAAGTTGTAAATATTTCGAATCTGTAGAGACGTACAAAAGATTTCACGTCGACGGTTTTCGAGGTTCAAGTACATTTTCATTTATACGTTTTTGCAGTATAGACAGATTTATTGTGTAAGTGTTACGTAGACAATAAATCTGTCTGCCGATAAAATAAATAAGTCTTTAATGTGGAACTCTCTTATTACCTGTGCCGAAACAGAGGCATATTTTGGCCTTTACATTTTCGTTTCACTCATTTTAGGATTATAGTCTCGAATATAAAAAAAGACGAAAATATCAAGGCAAGAGATACTACATACTGATGGCATATAGATTATTTTAGAAAATAATTATTTGTGTATAGAGGTCATTTTATTACATACACAGCGTAATTACTGTGTAGATATATCAACTATAGGTACAGTTATCGTTTGGTTGGAGTTTGTGAGGGGTGATCACCTCTGCAATACTGTTGTGTACATGATTTCCTTTGACTCGATAAAAAAATAAAAGACCTACGAGCCAAAATTACACTAGAGTGTGCTAAAAGTCCTACAAAGACTTGTTTGACTAAATTCGGTGTTTAACTTTGAGTGAATATATAGAACCCTCTATTGAGTGCCTCAGTATCAGTATTTCAAGTATTGATTTATCGATTCCCGTAAGAATGTTAAGCGTTGTACGTACATTTTGTAGTAAAATGTACAGATAATGTTTTCAACTACAAGGAATCTTTATCTACTTCAAAGGTAATGTCACTAATGCATGTAAGTAAAAAGGATATATTTTAACGAGATATAAAAATAGAAACTAACGACTGGCTTAGACAAAACATTGTTATAAATTCACAGAAGTTTCCAGATGGATTTTCACGAATGTTTGTAGTTTGAGCCTGTGACTTCGTCCGCTTGGAAGATAAATATATTTTGAATTACGGGGATAAAAAGTAGCCGGCGGCCTTTTATATTCGAAATACAGCTTATGCTTTTAATGACCACGGATTTACATATCGCATGATTTTAACGTTGATTTCCAAATATATATTATTTTTGAGTTAATACGGTTTATCGAACATCAAATTTTGTTCTCATTTTCAACATTAAACATTCGAAATGAAATTGATATCCATAAAATATATCACAGGCAGATATGAATGGTCAGATAATATGACCATATAGCGTTACATAATTAACCCATCAATGTTTTCCTACATATTTCCCGTTATGAATGAATAGGTCTAAACGTTGATATACAATTGTATTTCAAATTTTTGTCACTTGCTCTGTGCACGAAAGTAATCTACTCCTGAATATTGCGTTACCTAAAGAAATACGTTAGTTTTTTTTTTTAATGTTTGTAAACCTGCTCGTTTTTCTTGTGATGAGTCTGCTTTTCGAATAAAAGGTAGAATGAAAAGACTATTACATGATTATTCAAAAGCGCTTATATTAAATTTATTTGAATAAAGATTATTTCTGAAATTAGTCAAGAGTATTTTTAGTGCTTTGCTTTAATGTGTAGCAAAATTTTAAATTAGACTTTTCAAAGTATATTCAGCGTTTTTTATGTAATTAACTTACTTTTATGTACTTAACTGTAAAATAATAAATAACAAGACTTCTTTACATTAAGCTAATACTTTAATACGATTTTTGCATCTTCGCCAGTTCACATTCATTATTGTAGTCGAGAATACTCGACTTACAAAGACTGAAGCACATTTTGTTGTTTCAAAGCTTATGTTCATATTTGCACTAATATTTTTATAACTATTTACGCTAAATTTAATAAACGTACTATGTTTGAATTTTCTCATTAATATAAAAAATATATCATATTATTAGAATTTACTATTTATTCTAGATAATCTTCTATATAATAATACTTACAGAGGTCATGACGCTCTCTGTCGGGGCTTTTAGCCATCATTGACGTCCGCTTCGAAGGCATCGGCAGCGAGGGCTTTGGCCGGTTCTGCATTTCGGCGAGCGCTTGCTGTACTGCCTCCTGCCTCACTTCTGTAATATATAGTCCATGTTAGATTACCTTTGCATTAGTTCTGTATTCTTAGTAGTTTAGATTACATGCTTTAAGTACTACTATACTGCAGCAGATAATGATAAAAAATGGCGCTATGATTTTATACATATAATATACAGCTCTATTTGATTACACTAGAGACTAAATTTCGAACAGTTTTCACATGTGAAATATAAAATATATTACTACGATAAACTTCTCCTGTGAAAGGCTTTCCAAAGCTTGTTATATTCCGTAAAATTCTCTAATAAATTTAATATTAGCGTACTTAAAAAATTCTCTCAAATTCTGTTATTACTTTTTATTATAAAATCTAGTGATTTTATAATAAAAAGTAATAATACAGTAATAATAAGACATAGTTATACACACATACTTTTTGCAGAACCTTTTATATAATCATTTATACTGTCAGTTTGGACTAATAAGGGGTCAATTATAAAATTCTATTGAACTTTTATTTTTAGGTCCAATGGAACGAATAAATGACGAGATGCCGATAATTGTTATAATTGACACTATGACTGTAGCCAAAGCTGTCACCTGTCACAACCAAGCTGAAATTCCCTTCCTGTCGCTATTTACGATTGTATCTATAATTGTTTGTTTATCAATATTGTCGCTAACGTTTTACAAACTAATTAAAAGAATAGAATTCCATCTACAAATATTTATTTTCTAATATTTAAAATTAATTTAATTGTATCAAATTTCATATATCCTCAAACTAGCGGAACGTTAGTACACGGATACTAAGCAATTGTTAGAAATACCTAAATACATAGAAAACATTCTTATATTCAATAGAAAGAATCATAATTATAAATATAAATGTTTGTATCGTGCAAAGAATTGAACCCGCGACCATAGTGAGTAAGGCGGCGTGATAAATTGCCAGACCACCGTGGCCTATGTTATAAGCAATGTCACATTCAATTATATCACTAATCACACCTACATATCCATTAATATTACAAAAACTTCATATTTAATTTCACTTCAACGATCGTAAATTTGGAAATACGAGTATCTATGAAATTCAAGTCCAGCCTTGTATGGAATCCCGCTATTGTTATTGAAGTCGGAAACCTTTAGACGACTGATAAAAAGATCATAACAGGTGGCATATTGGAGAGGTTTAGGTGTCAAAGGGATGTTTTGCGAGCAATAAATAGCTTTTACAATATAACTGAATGAAGAGAAAATATTGCACATATTATTTTCTTATATTGTGTACTTGTATTCTTATTGCCTATCCGTTGTTCCGTCTTTACACGATAGTCTTAGGTTCGCTTCACAAAGTAGCTTTAACAGGTCGCTTTAAAAGATTTTAAAGTCACATCAGTAGGATTTAAAGCCCTACCCTATACACTCACGTAAATAAACGCTCTAAAATGTGTAATATCACTATCAAAGCATACTCGCATATTTTATACTCTTTACATATTATTATATTAATAATCATATAACATAATTATATATAGTATTAACAGTAACTTTATTACTAGGACTAGATTGTTCGCATGTAACACTGCACTCCAACGCTTGTAGTAATATTTAAATATGATGCAGTTAAAACTAAGATAAAAGAAAGTGTCATCCATACAAAGAGATAAGTCTCAATATTCAGGTTTTTAATTAAAATAACATCCCCTTAGCTTATTGCAAAATACTAAAGCATTTTCTAAGTACAAATTTTTGCTTACGTTCCTATTTTCCTCTTTCACTAATCCGTTTTAAGATTATCTTTTAATAATTTTAACTAAATCATTTTCATACTTCATATTTAAAAATATTGTGCAATACAATTGAATTTAATATCTACATATTATACTTGTTATTTCGGATTCTAGTTTTCAGAAAACGCGCAATTGTATTAAAATCTGTAACTGTACAATTGATAGATTCAAATTTGCGTAACCTTGTAATACTGTGTGAACGTGTGTTGTTAAAATCCACTTTACATGGAAACACGAGTGATGTCATAACAAGAAAGTATGGCACGATCATTGTTCGCAGCACTTGTTTGGACGTTACTCATAAACAGCCACAGACACAAGGACAAATATCAATACTGGTGCGCTTTTTCAACCCGCCTAGATTAATAAAGCACAAAGTAATCATGACAAGGCAGATCGGAAAACCCTATAAAAAGCGACCTAGGTTACATACTAATAGTAGTCGTAATCTATATATTTTTATACGGTTTCTCAGGAGTCGATAATACTTACATAATAGTAAATAACGTATTAAAAATAAGTTTAAATTCGTCTATTATAAAATTTACAAATTCAATTTATTTTTAGAATTTGTATTATGGTTCCCAATATTAGATTTTAATTATTATTATGTTTAATTATAACAAACACTAATCTATGTAAATTAGTTAAAATCAGTCAGTTAAAAATTTTTAAAAGTTGTTTAAATCAACCTCATCAAATTATTTTGGACAATATTAAAGTGATTATTATTACAATTGATCTATTATTTTAACAATTATATGTAGTGTAAAATTTATTATAAAAAAACAAAGACTCCTCTAAACTTTAATTGTCCCAAATTTTATACACATCTGTCTGTGTTTTAGTAAATAGTGATAAAACGTTTTTGCTTCACATATTAATATTAATCTTACCCCATACACGAACCGCCTCTATTACACCAATACACCTCTATTAGCTATCCCGTGTTAGAAGATATTAATATATAAAAAAACAAAAGTAACTAAATAAGTTTTCAGAAAGCTGTCTAAAGCTCTATACTTGCAACATTACTTATAGGCAAATAGAGTAGATAAGATAGGGTAGAATATATTTATGATATCCGAATTGAAGATGATTGATTTGAAATATTTAACACGAATAACCAGCCTGTCCTGTAATATAAGTTATTATTTATTATATCTGTATATGAAATAAAAATGAAGAATCAAATCTAAAGAATACACGTATCCTCCATACTTGTATTCTTTAGATTTGATTATAATAAAATACTATTTTAAAAGAAAACAAAATTCAGAAACAAAAATAGAAAAGTACATATAAATCATTATTATTATAATACTATACGTAAATAAAAAGCCTAAAATATAAATAAATCAAAAGAAATATAATTAAAAACAAAATATCAGGTTTACCGGATTTAACTGTCGTATAGACAGGTACGAAGTGCTCTAAAAATATTGGCAGCTTATTTTTCAAAATAGCGACAAAATCCCTACTACAATTTAATCTCCGTGATCGCGTCCGTCGATATAACGCGAGTGGGTGCAACTGAGTCTATATTGGATTCAGACCGTCTACTTCAGCTAGAAAGATGAGATGCTCAACTTGTTATTGTTATGAGAGAATATTAACTTGTAAATCGAGACTTCAAAGAGCTAAGAGGATTGCGCCCTCATTTTATTGCAAACGTATATAGTTTGTATTGTGAATGCAACAAGTTTAATTGATATTGCTGTAAACTTACGCCCTTAAAGTTGTTATTGTAAAGTTAGCATTTTTTTTTTCACTTTACAGATAAGTGGTTAGCATGGATCCACTACTTGTAAACAGTTGTGCAATTTGCAATTAGTTGAATAGAGCGACAAGATTTGTCTTTCTATTTACTTTGTTTGACGCTCCCGGAGACGGATATTTCTATTACCTTTGCTTGACTTCTCTGAGCTTGTCGATCTGTAAATGTATATAATTAATGTACAACTTATAAGCTAAGGAAACTAATATAGATTGCTTGTATCGAGCTTATACATTCAGTAAACTTCTATGGAAATATACTGATTTATCTAGGGAAAGATTACTCCTAGTGTACTTCCGTGCCGTCCTACACGTTCATTAATTATAATTGGCTCTATAATTAGAATATCTTCGTAACAATATTTTCATAAAAACACGCTGTTCATAAACATGTATAAAACATTATATAGTCTATGTCAAATATTAAGGAGTTCATGGGATACATATATATGTATCCCATGAACTCCTTAATATTTGACTAAAATATCAATTGTTAAAATCCTAGTCTAATGCAGGACTAACGCGGGTGTATTGTACAGTACACAATGCTACTTAAAATGTAACATGATATAAATTAAAAGAATACAGTGGAGTGGACATCATGTCAGATAACCTTACACAATAATATCCACTACAAAAGGGTAGAACACGCACGTCTTCGGATCGAAGTGTGCATGTATGTGATATGTTATGGAAGTGAATGAATAAATATAGAATATGTTAGCATGATTTTTCTACCTAACCTGACCGGGACCTGACCACTAAAAGAGAGAATACGCAAATTAATGCTTAATAAATCTAGTCCAAGCAAAGGTGAAGAAGATATAAATACCTTTCCGAGAAAAAGCCGACCGAAGATTTGACATAATGTAATTTTTTGGAGGAAAAGATAAAGCGTAAATACATTAGGTATACCCCGATATACGTTTGTCAACGATATCTCCGTATTAGAATTCAATTAAAAGCATCTCTGAACTCAATATGTAGGCGGAGACTGTTACTTCTAGACAAAGTTCCGTCTTGAACTATTAACTGCATCTAATTGTTTTAGAATTCAGACTATGTCTTGTGTGGCTGCGAACTAATAACTAATACTAATTACTAGAAATGTATATACAAAGCTTTGATTTGTTTGAAACCAGAGATATAGATGACATCCTAGAACTGTTGAGCCACTTAATAACTTTAGGTTCATATACTGCGTTATAGTGCTATGACTCAACTCAATTTACAAACCCCTCGACTTTGAATAGCCGGCATGCAAATTTGCAGGCTTGCACTAGTGTCAAATATTGACAAGTTCATTATGGAAGCAGTTCCTTTTAAGATCAATCAATTGATAAATTTATCTCATAGGACCTTGTGATTGCTAAAGTTACCTAACAGTAATTATGTATTATAGAATATGATAATAATGTATTAACGCACAATAAATATCAGGTACGTTCTAGTATTTTAGTGTA